CAATACCGTGATAATACAGATAACCGTGATCATTTTGGTCACTATAATCGTGATAAGAAATTTTCATACCGTTACATCCCTAATATCAACAATTGAATTGCTACTAGTAAAAATGTTTATTTTTGATATCAATAATTCTATTGTCACTAGTGACAATGTTAATTTCTGATATCGTGAATGTGATTGTTACTAGTAAAATAAGTCATTTTAGAGATCAGAAATTACTCTCCTAATTATTGATATCAGGAATACATTTTTAGATATCAGAATTGACAAATGCAACATGTTAAAATACATTTACAGATATCAAGAATTAACATTTCAACTAGTGACAAATGAATTCTTGATATCAGGAATTCACTTTTTTACTAGTAACAATGTAATTATTGATATAAAAAATAAAGGCTTTTACTAGTAATAATTTTATTTCTGATATGTGCAATTGGAATTTTAACTAGTAAGAAATCAATTCTTGATATCAACAATTGAATGGCAGCCTAACTAGTGAAAATACAATTACAGATATCAAGAATTATATTTTTTACTAGTTGAAATCCAATTCCTGATATCAAGAATTAGCATTTTAACTATAGAAAACTTAATTGTTGATATCAAGAATTTTTATCCTGTGAAGGAATAAAAGTCTAAACGGCTTGCCATACAGTTACTGAGGTGTTGTCATTCACACATACAGCTGCTCTAGAAAGAACAGGTCCAGACACAACACCTTTATTCTTATTCAGAACACTGTAGACTGTGTGGTGAATAAATGCTTTGGTTTATTAACATTTAACCAATAGATCACGCAGAATTGAGCAATTTACAGGTCTGACATGGACATGTCTTTCATCCTCAAACACATTTACATTTATTCTTATTTAGAAGCAGATGGAGATGACTAGAGAGGAAGGAGAACACTATAAACCTATCCTGACAGGCATGAGAAGTCATAAATACAGTCGTAAATTCACATCTGTCCAGTACAGGGCTGTCAGCTGCTGTCATGTCAATCAGGAGTGGCGGGACCCTAATGACATGTGATTCATGATTGACATATATATATATATATATATATATATATATATATATATA